TCCAGATTCAATTTTTAAGCCAGGATAGAGGAAACCCAATGTTGAGTTGGTCCTCCACTGGCATTTATGCACAGTTTAACCCAAAAAAAAAAAAAAAAAACACAAGCACAGCAGCCGCCATGCAAATCAACCAAAAAGCAATTATATTCAAAACATTCAACACCAATAAACCCAGACATTTCAATAAATCTACCAGATTACATGGAAATTTCTGGAAAACAAAAGTAAATCCGTACCTAGAATGGTTGTAGTTCTTCTTCTTCTTCCCTGTTCTTACCCACGAACAGAAAGACAGAAAAAACTAGATCTGAAGAGGAAATTCAAAAACAAAAGAAATCCAAAACCCCCTATTTATACAAACCCTAAAATAAAAACCATAAACATCTTCCTTGTTTAATTTAGCACCGTAGATATCATCAGCCTTGCCTCTGCGCCGTAGATTAAAGTTTGCCATTGACAATTTCTGGCTAGTGAAAGCGAAAGGCTTCTTAATGGAAGAATGGGCGAAGACAACTATTTTGCCGAAGAAGGAAGCGCAAGGGTTCGGTTAGCTGAGCCCTAACCCCTTTCCTTTTTAGTATCAGAAGTACGTCGTTTGGGGTTTCATTTATTGCCCCCCTCTGATCCTCGGGCCCCATGGATAATCTCCATTTAACGGATCTATGGCATCACACGTGGCCTTGATAATGAGAAATTGTTCCTGTCCACTGAAATTTCGGCCTTTTTTTTGGGAAAAAGGTTAAACCTTTTTTTTGGTCCCTCAACTATTGTATGGACCCCTTATTTAGTCCTTCAACTCAAAAAATCCCTGACTTAGTCCCTTTTGTTTACCATTTTGACCCCAATTTGGTCCCTTCATTAAAATTCCGCCTACGTGTCCCAAAAAATGATGACATGTAAAATAATTTAACATGTAGGTTTGACAGCATGGCCTATAAAATTTACATGTAATTTTTAATAAAAATTAAAATATCTAAAATTAATTATAAAACTAAAATTACTTTTTTACCCTCATCTTCAACCACACATCACTTTCTTTCCATTTTCTTTTCGTTACCCCTTCATTTCCATCTCTAGCATTCATCTTCTTCCCCCTAGAACCTTGTTCGTTGGCCTTAAGGGCTTTGGGTTTGATTGATGCCTACTAGGTTTAATCGATGAACCCAAAAGGAACCTAGCGGCACAATGCTTATTGGGTTCGATCGATGAACCCAGTAGGCGTTCCTAGGTTCGATCAATGAACCCAACGACACCGTTGGGTTCATCGATCGAACCCAGGAGCGCCTATTGGGTTCATCGATTAAACCTAGCAAGAACCTAACAACGTTGCTGGGTTCGATCGATGAACCTAGTAGGCGCTCCTGGGTTTGATTGATGAACCCAACGGCGCCGTTAGGTTCATCGAACTCCTGGGTTCGATCGATGAACCTAGCAGATGCCGTTGGGTTCATGCTGGGTTCATCGATCAAACCTAGAAGCGCTTGCTGGGTTCATCGATTGAACCCAACAGGTACTGTTAGGTTCAATTGAAGAATCCTTGATGGGTTTGATTGAAGAATGCTGGGTTTGATTGCTGTACCCTTGCTGGGTTTGATTGAAGAATGCTAGATTCGATTGAAGAACTGTTGTTGGGTTTGATTGAAGATACCTTGATTTTTCTGGGTTTTTTAGAAGGCTGAGAGGGCATTTAATGGGGGTTTAGACTACTTGCTGGGTTCCCTTTGTTATGTGAATATCGTGTGAAGGAGAAGGTCAATTTTGGGTGCGAGGAAATCTAGATCTAAGAGGCAATCTAGATCTAAGTTCCTTCTACACCCACATTTGTATTTAGGTTTTATTTTTCAAATCTTGATTACTGTAATTTTGGGTATGAAAGCATTAAAATTTGAATGATAAGAATTGGAATTGCAAATCTAGGTATTTTGGGTACTTATTTGATTTTGTAGAATTGGAAAGCATTAAATTTTGGAATCAAATAAATTTGGGTATTTATTTGATTTTTTTAACTTTAATTTGAATTTAAAATGGAAAGTGCAACCCAGATCTGGGTTCTTTCCGAACCTAGGTGTATCGAATCCAGTGTGTGTTGGGTTCAATCGAACCCAAGAATGCTGGGTTTAGAAGGTTTTAGGGTTTGCAGAAGGCAAAAGGAAAGGAAGAGGAAGAAGAAAGAGAAAAAGGAAAAACAAAGGAAGAAAGAAAAAAAAGAAAACAGAATTTTTTAATTATTTTTACCACATCATTGTTTTTGCCATGCTGTAGATCCTATGTGTCAAAAAATTTTTACGTGTCATGTTTCTCTTTGTTAAGTAACGGGACACGTAGGTGGAATTTTAACGGAGTGACCAAATTGGGGTCAAAATGGTAAACAGTAAGGACTAAGTTAGGGATTTTTTGAGTTGAGGGACTAAATAGAGGGTCTATACAATAGTTAAGGGACCAAAAATGAAGGTTGAACCTAAAATAAAATTGCGGCCATGCATAATGAGATGTAGGCGGAGGGCGGGGATGTAAAAGAATAATTTTCTTAATTAATTTTTATATAATTTTTATGTATTAGATGTATTTAATTTCATAAATTTTAAATAAATAAAAAATTTTACTTTTAAATTATTTTTCAATGAGAAATATTGTGGATTGAAATGTCAACTCGTATATATCTCTACCCATTTTCACTTTGAATAATAATAATAATACTAGTAAA